CCCGCCTCGGCCTCCCAAAGTGCTGGGATTACAGGCGTGAGCCACCGCACCCGGCCAATTTTAATTTTTTTTAGATGGAGTTTCGCTCTTGTTGTCCAGGCTGGAGTGCAATGGTGCAATCTTGGCTCACTGCAACCTCCGCCTCCTGGGTGCAAGCGATTCTCCTGCGTCAGCCTCCTGAGTAGCTGGAATTACAGGCCCCCGCCACCTGTAATTAGGCTGGCTAATTTTTTTATTTTTAGTAGAGACGGGGGTTTTCCCATGTTGGTCAGGCTGGTTTCGAACTCCTGACCTCGGGTGATCCGCTTGCATTGGTTTCCCAAAGTGTTGGGATTACAGGCATGAGCCACCATGCCGGCCCTGATTTTTTTTTTAGACTTGAATCCAGTGGTTCTCAAACTTTAGGATCCACCAGAATCACCTAGAGGGTGTGTTAAGCTGTAAATTGCCAGGCCTCACTCTCCAAGAGTTTCTGATTCGCTAGGTGTGGTCTGGGCTATGCTTACCTATCTTGCTTATTTTCTATCCTGTCTTTCCTTTTGTCGTGACTCTATTTCCCTTTGTTTGTACTGTATCCATTGTGGAAAGAGGACGAGATAAATAAGTGAGCAGATAAATAAGATCACGAGCATTATCTTAACCTGCCTTTCCTGGAGCTCCACCACGAGATTCTTCAGACACTAGACTCAGCAGAATTTGTTGTTAGGTCTCCATAACCCTGCCAGGGCAGTTGTTCCCATGTGTTCTAAGACAAACCATCAAAGTTGTTGCCAGTAGTATACTAGCAGGATACTTTACCTAAATTAGTGATTATGTTGTGTATACCTTTCCATGTCACCCCTCCTCCCCCTCCTCAAGATTTCATGGGAATCCGTTTTTGAATAGAACTCTGAGTATCATGACTACAGGAACAAGCTGACATTCACTAGGGATGTCATTCTGTTTTGTTTTGTTTTTTGAGACAGAGTCTCTGTTGCCCAGGCTGGAGTGTACTGCCGTGATCTAGCCTTACTGCAAACTCCGCCTCAAGTGATTATCCTGCCTTGGCCTCCCGAGTAGCTGGAATTACAGACATGTGCCACCATGCTTGGCCGCTTTTTTTTCTTTTTAGTAGAGATGGGGTTTCACCATGTTGTCCAGGCTGGTCTTGAACTACTGACTTTGGTGATCTGCCCACCTCAGCTTTCCAAAGTGCTGGGATTACAGGCATGAGCCACTGCGCTGGACTGGAATGGCATTCTGATTCCTGACTTCCCTGATCAGAAATCTTTGTTCCTGGATTTATTCTCATGTTACTTTGCATCTCTGTGGAAGCATTTATTTGCCGTATTCTGCAAACATGTTGTCCCCAGATAGATTCAATGCTACCCGAAGGTTTGTCACCATGCTGTGCACAAAGCGGGACTTCAAGTGTTATGGAGGCCCGGAAGACCGGGTACAGTGGCTGACGCCTGTAACCCAGCACTTTGGGAGGCCGAGGTGAGCGGATCGCATGAGGCCAGGAGCTCGAGACCGGCCTGGTCAACGTGGTGAAACCCCGTCTCTGCTAAAAATACAAAAATGAGCCAGGCGTGGTGGCACATGCCTGTAGTCCCAGCTACTCCGGAGGCTGAGGCAGGAGAATCGCCTGAACCCAGGAAGCAGAGGTTGCAGTGAGCCGAGATGGCACCACTGCACTCCAGCCTGGACGATAGAACTAGACCCCAACTCAATAAATACATAAAATAAAGTAAAAGTGTTCTGGGTTGTGTTTAATTATACTAAGGAGATTTGATAGGAAGGAGCACAATAAATGATTATTTGGTGAATTTTAATACAGTACTTTAACAAACCTTTTCATAAAGTTGCTTTGGTTGTTAAAAAATTTTAGACCTTTCCTCCCATCTTTTTTTTTTTTTTTTTTTAAATACATCATTCTAACTTCCTAAAAGTATAGCTCAAAAAGGTGGGGACCAGGGCAGAGGCCAGCAGCGAAGACATTATTGGGATCTTATTTGCCCCAAGACCACACAGGGATGACTTCCTCAGTTTGTAGATTATAAAAACGGAAGAGGGAATCAATAGTTACTGAATCTACCATGAGTCAGTTACAAACTTTCTCATACAATCCTCACGGTTATCCCACAAGGTTAGAAATTGGGAACAGAAGAGAGAGAGGGGAACTGAATTCGGATTTCAGGCCAGCAGTAGACAAGCAGGAAGCGGAACGAAGAATGATTTCTAAGCGCAGCTCCGCAGCCTACTCGCCTAGTTGGCTGGGGCTACCTGTGCTGGGAGTTTCCATTTCCCTTCCCGCGACTGCACCTGCACAGACACGGGCAACGCCTTACCAGAGCAACACCTGTGTTTCTTTGGCAGGAATGAGCCTTGCACTGGGCGGGGCTCAGGGCCCACCGCATGCTGCGTAGCGCGGGTGATTTAAACCCAGGCAGTCGGCGCCTGGGACCCGACCGGATGCTCCTTGGCGTCGCCCCGGGTCTCCGGACTCCTCTGATTGGACGTGGCTGCGTTCGGCCTCCCAATGGCGAGGAGGCGCGCGGCTTCCCGGAAGTGGCAGCGCGGTCAGGGCTGGCCTGGGCTTCAGCTGCAGTTTTGGGGTCCGGGACGTTGGGATCCGCGGCGATATGAGTTCCTTCGAGGGGCAGATGGCCGAGTATCCAACTATCTCCATAGACCGTTTCGACAGGGAGAACCTTAGGGCCCGCGCCTACTTCCTGTCCCACTGCCACAAGGGTGAGTGAGCGCTGTGCGTCGCCTGTTTCTGGGGCGCTGGGGGCTGGAGAGAGGACAGGAGGGGGCCGGTCCTGGAGCAAGGAGCTGCAGCCTGTGGGAGACCAGCGAGGGGGCGGCCAGCACACACCTTGTCCCAGTCGGGCTCTTCAGCCTCTCAAAGGCTTCATCTATTTTTGGATCTGGTCAACGCGGCGTAACGGCGCCTGCCAGTTGCGCCCCGGGCCGGCTTGGTCAAGCGCTGCTATTAGGTTCACTTGGTAGCTCTGCTGGTGGCCGATGGTCAGAGATTGGCGAGGGTTAGTTCTTCCCCCAGAGCCTCGCTACCGTGTATGAAGAAAACAAGTTTCAGATCCATTTGAGCACACCCTCAAACATTGGTCAGCAAGCAGGCTGACTCAGACACACACACGACTGTGAAACAGCCCGCCTGATAGTTCCACGAAGTGCAAGCTCCCTGGCCTTTGGATGTTCTGTCCGCATCCACTACGAACGCTTCGTTCTGGGTTAGGATGGAGGGATGTTTCCCTTCTAAATGGTATCAGGCAACCAGAAAAGCTACTATGATTTCACAGCTGGATCCTTTCACAGCTGGACCCATTTAGGGATTAAGGTTAGAGTGTCGCTGTTAATGATATAAGCTCGAGGCTAGATACGCCAGGCAGAGATTGGAGCTAATTTCCAGAGTTTAAATACCGCTAATTTCACAACCGTTGTTCATTTTCACTTCTGTTGCTCTAATAAGTGACTTACCAGTGAAAACAGTTTTAATGTGCATTGTGCTAATTAGCTCAGCCATTAGTGTTAATTGGAGAAAATGATAAACGGAATCACTGGAGTTGCTGCCTTCTGCTGTGTAGCCTTGCAGAGTGCTGGAGCAGGAAGTTCCCACTACCCTGTGGAGTCAGTGTAACAAACCTATCTACACATGCGCAGTGGGAAAGGGTTTTAAAGTAAATTACAGGTATCCAAGTACAGCCTTTCCTCACAGGGTTGGTGGGAAGGCCAGCTATATTGTCTTGGGTGTGGAATCAATCACTTGGACTATAAATTGTTGAAGTTACTGCTTCTGGGAAATGTCTGCTTTTTTTCCCACAAAGCCACTAGTGATTTCTGCTTAATGGGGAAAATCTGGACCTTTTCTCATGCGTTGCCATATTAGCATCATGCACCTCTTCGAGCGTCTCTTTCTTTCTTCCTTTTTTTTTTTTTTGAGACAGGGTCTCCCTTTGTCGCCCAGGCTGGAGGACAGTGGCACATGCTCTCTGCTCAAGTAGCTGGAACTACTGGAGTGAGCCACCATGCCCAGCTAATGTTTGTATTTTTATTATTATTACTTTGAGATGGAGTCTCTGTCGCCAGGCTGGAGTGCAGTGGCGTCATCTCCGTTCACTGCAACCTCTGCCTCCTGGGTTCAAGTGATTCTTGTGCCTCAGCCTCCCAAGTAGCTGGAATTACAGGCACGCACCACCACACCCAGCTAATTTTTGTATTTTTAGTAGAGATGGCGTTTCACCATGTTGGCCTGGCTGGTCTCGAACTTCTGGCCTCAGGTAGATCCACCCACCTCAGCCTCCCAAAGTGTTATGATTACAGGTGTGAGCCACTGTGCCTGACACATTTCTGGTTTTGTTTTTCATTGAGAATCTACTGCTGGACGAGGATGTGCCTATTTCTGCTTTTTGTGTAGAGTCGCACTGGAGTCTCTGAACTCAAAATGGGCTAGCCAGGATTAAAGTATACTTCAGAAACTTGCACTTTGTGTTTAGGACTACTGAGTTTGGAGAAATAATGCATCTAAAGGAATTTGTAAAATCATCACTGTAAGTTTGTGCATTAAGGAAGAAATGGACTCTTCCCTACAGTTGAACAGTCTATAACAACTTTTTCTGTTCTGTAACCACATGTGGATCTGCTTACTCAACCAGGACATAAACTCATCAAGGGCAAAAACTCAACTTCCGCTTTTGGAGGTTTCTCACGTTGCCTTCTGTTGGCTTTTAACCTTTTTGAGACACAGGCTTCTTTGATTGATATGGACTATCTCCACAAAATTCCTGTGTTGAAGCCCTAACCCCCAAAGTGACTGTATTTGGGGCTGGCTTTTAGGAGGAAAATAAATTTAAGTGAGGTCATACCGTGGTGTCCTACTCTGATAGGATTAATGCCCTTACAAGAGGAGGAAGAGAGAGGGCGCTCTGTCCTCATACATCCATGCCAAGGAAAGCCATGTGAGTGCACAGTGAGAAGGCAGCTGTCTGTAAGTTTGGAAAAGTGCCCTCCCCGGAAACCAAATTGCCCCGCACCTTGATCTTGGACTTCCCAGCTTCCTGAACTGTGAGAAATACCTTTCTGGTGTTTAAGGCAACCAAAACACTGCCTTTCCTGACAGGGTTGGTGTGAAGGCCAACTAAGGTATCTATGGTATCTTGTGATAGCAGCTCAAGCATGAGAAACTGTATGGACTCTTTTACTAGAAAAAAAGCATGGAAACCCATCCACATCTTTTTTTTTTTTTTTTTTTTTTGAGACAGGGTTTCACTCTGTCACCCAGGCTGGAGTACAGTGGTGCGATCTTGGCTCACAGCAGCCTTCACCTCCTGGACTCAAGCAATCCCCTCACCTCAGCAAGTACTCCCACCTGAGTAGCTGGGATTACAGGCATGTACCATCATGCTTGACTAATTTTTGTGTTCTTTATAGAGACGGGGTTTCCCCCTGTTGCCCAGGCTGGTATCAAACTCCTGGGCGGAGGTGAACCACCCGCCTCAGCCTCCCAAAGTGCTGGGATGACAGGTGTGAGCTACCACACCCAGCCCCATATCAAACTTTGATATCATTCGGAGTAGGCTATGGACCCACCTGATGCTTATTTGTGCGCCATCTGGAAGCCAATGCTGTGTGCAGGGTGGGCTTTACTAAGCATCAGTAAGTTCTGGAAGATGAGAGGACACCTGAGACCTGAGACCTGAGATAATGGCCCAGGGTTGGGGAAATCCCCATGAGGTGGCAGCTTAAGATAAGTTATTGTGGCCAAGGAAAAGGAAAACCTCGCTGGAGAAGCAGACCTGGGTGCAGCTGCAGCAGCACAAAGCAAAGCCACCCAGTTCTTCTGACCACCAGTTGGAAGGGGCCTCAGGGTGGTGAGGATGGGGGACTATGATGCCCCATGCAGGGTGCTGCCTGCTTAGTCAGTGTGGGAGCAGGAAGCAGAGTCTGGATTGAGCCTCCTCTTTGCCATGGCACAAACTCTTTGGAAACTCCAATTACGGAGAGTCCTGCCCAGAGATATACCCATAAGGCCCTTGAAGACTGGACCAGGTATCCCTTGAGGGAATTTACCCACTGGGAGACAGGTGGACTCTCCCGGAGGCGGGTGTACAATCTAGGGCTGCCAAGTGAGGTGTGGTGACTGCTCTGCTTTCATTGGGTCTAATGATGGCCACATATACATTGAGGGTGTGCTTGTGTGTGTGTGTGGTGGTGCTCGTGGTAATTAGAAGTGGTTTGGTTTAGCTAAACAATTTATTGTTTTTTGTTGTTGTTGGTTTTTGTTATTTATTTATTTATTTATTTTTGAGATGGAGTTTCACTCTTGTTGCCCAGGCTGGAGTGCAATGGTGCAATCTCGGCCCACCACAACCTCTGCCTTCTGGGTTCAAGCGATTCTCCTATCTCAGCCTCCCAAGTAGCTGGGATTACAGTCATGCACCAGCATGCCTGGCTAATTTTGTATTTTTAATAGAGACAGGGTATCTCCATATTGGTCATGCTGGTCTCGAACTCATGACCTCAGGTGATCCGCCTGCCTCGGCCTCCCAAAGTGCTGGGGTTACAGACGTGAGCCACCGCACCTGTCTGTTTGTTTTTGAGATGAAGTCTCACTCTGTTGCCCAGGCTGAAGTGCAGTGGTATGATCTTGGCTCACTGCAACCTCCACCTCCCATATTCAAGTGATTCTCCTGCCTCAGCCTCCCAAGTAGCTGGGATTATAGGTGTGTGCTACTATGCATAGCTAGTTTTTGTATTTTTAGTAGAGATGCGGTTTCACCATGTTGGCCAGGTTGGTCTCGAACTTCTGACCTCAGGTGATCCACCTGTCGTGGCCTCCCAAAGTGCTGGGATTACAGGTGTGAGCTACCGTGTCCAGCTGGTTTAGCTAAACAATTTAGAGCTGTTTGATCATTGTTGTCTAGGCCTTTACTTGCTAAAGATTCAGAATATACTGGAATGCATGTATGCTGAATGTAATGGTCTAATTGCTACCTTTCTGTTGTCTGTGTCTGTTAATGTGGAGGGCTGTGGAGCAAGTCTTCGTGGATAGTAATACTCTCCTTTGAATCCATCACAGTAGGATGAGAAGATGACAATACACTTATTCTGTCCTGAGTGATTTCCTAGCAGATTCCATGGACACGAGCTTGAATTTCTAGATAGACTGATTTAAGTGGCAGGAAGTGAATGGGTTACATAGAGCGTGGCTCGAAGGATGGTTGGATTGAAATGATGTAAAAGAGTGGAGGGCTAGAAGCAGTTCTCATTCTTCTGTGGCTTCCCAGAGTGATTTAAAGTCTGGCCTATGATGCAGGGAATCACTCTCCTTTTAAATAGATTTGGATGGCTCAGAAATGGGCAGCCTGTCCTGTTCTGAAAAGGATTCTTCACTTGCAGAAGAAAGAGTCCATAGCCCATGTGATTCAATTCTTATAAAAGCAAACCTCGTGGGTTTTCTCTTGAAGCTGAAATAGAAGACAACTGTTTCCCTTGGGCTAAGGAATCCTCTGGAAAAAGAACATATTGATGAGTGTTGGTTCTTTTGTTTTTAGATCACATGAAAGGATTAAGAGCCCCTACCTTGAAAAGAAGGTTGGAGTGCAGGTAATTTATTTTGCTACTTATTTGTGTGTGTGTGTATGTTTTTAAGCAAGCATTTTAATTGAGAGATAACAACTGTACAGAAAAGTACATACATCCAAGCATATAGTCATTTACAAAGTGAACGCATTTGTGTAGCTTCACTCAGATTAAGAAACAGGACAGTACCAATATCCCAGACCCCTCCTACCTCCTCCCAAAGGTAACCTCTATTCTGACTTTTGTCATCATGGGTTAGCTTTGGCTGTTTGTGAACTTGAGATATATATATATATATATATATATATTCCTACCAAATACACTGCTTAAAAAAAAACCAGAGAGGGAGTTTTGCTATGTCGCCCAGGCTGGTCTTGAACTCCTGGCCTCAAGTGATCCTCCTGCCTCAGTCTCCCAAAGGGCTGGCATTATAGATGTGAGCCACTGGCACCTGGTCCCAAATAGACCCTTTTATAATTGTTTTACTTTACTTAACATTGTATTTGTGTGATTTATCTATGCCGCTGGGTACAGCAATAACTCATTCCGTGTTATTTCTGTAAGAGTATATGAGAGAGAATGGCTGTTCCATTGTAAAGGATCATATAATACTGGATTTTTTTCTTAAAGCTGAACTATTAGATGCTCTTCTTGCAGCCATTGCCTATATCTAAATTCCCAATTCTCAAGATACATATTTGAAAAGGGCCAGTGGATGTCAGACTTTTCTGCTCATTGATAGCAATAGTCTGTCTTCTTGATAATGATAGCCAATATTTACTGAATACTTACTGTATCTGGGGACTGTGTATTTCTCAGTTCAACAATTTTTTTTTTTTTTTTTTTTTTTTGAGACAGAGTTTTACCATGTTGCCCAGGCTGGTCGTAAACTCCTGGCTTCAAGTGATCCTCCCATCTTGGCGTCCCAAAGCACTGGGATTATAGGCATGAGCCTTTGCGCCTGGCCAATAATTTTTTATTATTTTATTTCTATTTATTTATTGACTTTTGCGACAGGGTCTCGCTCTTGTCGCCCAGGCTGGAGTGCAGTGGCACGATCTTAGCTCACTGCAACTTCTGCCTCCTGGATTCAAGTGATTCTTTTGCCTCAGCTACCCGAGTAGCTGGGATTAAAGGCACCCGCCACCACACCCGGCTACTTTCTGTATTTTTGGTAGAGAGGGGTTTTACCGTGTTGGCCAGGCTGGTCTTGAACTCCTGATCTCAAGTGATCTGCCTGCCTTAGCCTCCCAAAGTGTTGGGATTATAGGCATGAGCCACCACTCCTGGCCTCAATAATTTTTTCTGGTTGCCTGTGACGTGTCGGGCATTGTACTGGAGGTGGAGAATGCATTAGCGAGCCACACAGATGCAAGGCTCTGCCCTCTTGCACTTGACATTTTCATTAGAGCTTCTTGATAACCTTTTGAATAGATACTACTATTATTTCTATTTTACAGGAGACTGAGGAACCAGAGAGGTTAAATTAGTTGCCCAATGTCACACAGCCAGTAAGTGGCAGGACCAGGATTCCAGCCAGGTCTGTCTGATTGTAGAGCCTATGTATCAGTCATCCGCTGCTGTGTAACAAATTACTTCAAGATGGAGTGACTTAGCACTGATCATGTCTTACTGCTCAGTTTCTGTGGGTCAGGGATTGACAGGGTAGAGCAGGGATGGTTTCCCAGCCCAGGTATCAAACATCAGTGAGCAGAGTCTTCAGATAATGTCAGCCCCATAAGATCTGAAGATTCCCTTATCCATGTCTTTTGATACCTGGGCTGGGAAGACTCACACAGCTAGGGACTAGAACTGTTTGGCGTGTCTTTTTTGTTTTTTGAAACAGAGCCTCACTTTGTTGCCCAGGTTGGAGTACAGTGGCATGATGTTGGCTCACTGCAATCTCTGCCTCCCAGGTTCAAGCAGTTCTCCTGCCTCGGCCTCCCAAGCAGCTAGAAGTACAGACACGTGCCGTCAAGCCCAAATAATTTTTGTATTTTTAGTAGAGATGAGGTTTCACCGTGTTGGTCAGGCTGGTCTCGAACTCCTGACTTGAAGTGATCTGTCTGCCTTGGCCTCCCAAAGTGCTGGGATTACAGGTGTGAGGCATCTCTATCTCTAAAAGTCTCTTTAGGCCAGGCATGGTGGTTTAGGCTTATAATCCCAGCACTTTGGGAAGCCGAGGTGGGAGGATGACCTGAGCCTAGGAGTTTGAAACCATCCTGGGCAACATAGGGAGATCTTTTCTCTACAGAAAATATGAAAAATTAGCCAGGTGTGGTGGCGTGTGCTGTAGTCCCAGGTGCTCAGGCTGCTGAAGTGGGCGGATTGCTTGCATTGCAGCCTAGGTGACAGTAAGCTCCCCTCCCCCTAAAAAAATCTCTTTAGTGTGAGTCCATCAGGATAGCCAGACGTGTTAAATGGAGACTCAGGGTTTAAAAGTGTATGTCCTACGAGAGAGCCTGGAGGAAGTCATATTGCTTGGCGATCTAACCTCAAAACCCATGAGATTACTTCCACCACATTCTGTGGTGAAGGTAATTACAGAAAATTGCCCAGGTTCAAGGGGAGGGAACATAGACCTGTCTGGTCAGTGGAGGAATTTTAATATCTATTTTGTAAGGAGAGCATGTACGGATGGGGTATATCGTTGTGTGGCCATCTTTGGAAAATACAATCTACCTTCGACTATATTCCTAACCTCTAAATGATAGCGTTAAGTTTTAAAAGTTTATTATGGGCTGGGCGTGGTGGCTCATGCCTGTAATCCCATCACTTTGGGAGGCTGAGGTGGGTGGATCAGTAGAGGTCAGGGTATCGAGACCAGCCTGGCCAATGTGGTGAAACCCCATTTCTATTAAAAATACAAAAAGTTAGCTGGGCGTAGTGGCGTGCATGTTGTCCTAGCTACTCGGGAGGCTAAGGCAGGAGAATCGCTTGAACCCAGGAGGCAGAAGGTTGCAGTGAGCCGAAATCGCGCCACTGCACTCTAGCCTGAGTGACAGATCAAGACTCCGTCTCAAAAAAAAAAAAAAAAAAAGAAAAAAGTTTATTATGAAATTAATTTCTGTTCATTACAAAAAAAAAAAAAAAATAGGCTGGGTGCAGTGGCTCTCCCTGTAATCCCATCATGTTGGGAGACCGAGGTGGGCGGATCACCCAAGGTGAGGAGTTCGAGACCAGCCTGGCCAATATGGTGAAACCCCATCTCTACAAAAAAAATTAGTCGGGCATCATGGCACGCGCTTGTAATCCCAGCTATTGTGGAGGCTGAGGCAGGAGAATCGCTTGAACCTGGGAGGTGGAGGTTGCAGTGAGCTGAGATCACGCCATTGCAGTTGCACTCCGGCCTGGGCGACAGAGCGAGACTCCGTCTCAAAAAATAAATAAATAAATCAACTTACACAGTAAAAAGCAGAAGTTTCTGTTCCCAACACACCTTTTTCCAGAGGTAGTGTAACGTGTGGCAGTATCTTTCCAGACACACCTGATCATATACAAGTGTGTATTTCCAAGTAACAGTGGTGAGGGACCGCTGTTGGAGGTAGTCCAGGGACACCGTATTTCCACCCCCACCTTGTGCTCTTGATGGCACTGAAATGGTGGGCATAGGTATGTTGGAGTGACTCTAACAGATTTTGTGCCAGCATAATTTCAGAACTATTAGATGTATGATGAAATAGATTTCATCACCATGCCTGGCTAATATTTGTGTTTTTAGTAGGAATGGGGTTTCACCATGTTGGTCAGGCTGGTCTCAAATGAAACTATTAGATGTATGATGAAATAGATTTATTAGTCACCAAGATGGCTCATTTTGGATTGTACTGAAAGTTTTTCTTTTTTCCTTTCAGCTTGAAGGTTTATCTATACTGTTCACCTGTGACTAAGGAGTTGTTGTTAACTAGCCCGAAATACAGATTTTGGGAGAAACGAATTGTAAGTTTTATTTTTTGAATAACTTAATTTTTTTTAAGTGGGAAGTATTTTTAGAGGTAGATTGACAAAAACATTGCCTCAGTTTGTCACATACTACAGTTACCCACATTAATTAGAATATTGAGTCTCTGGCTGGACATGGTGGCTTACACCTGTAATCCCAGCACTTTGGGAGGCCTTGGCGGGTGGATCACTTGAGGTCAGGAGTTCATGATCAGCCTGGCCAACATGGTGAAACCCTGTCTCTACTAAAAATAAAAAATTTGGCCAGGTGTGGTAGCACACACCTGTAGTCCCAGCTACTCAGGAGGCCGAGGCAGGGTAATTGCTTGAACCCAGGAAGCAATGGTTGCGTTGAGCCGAGATCACACCACTGCACTGCAGCCTGGGCGATAGAGTGAGACTCCATCT